CGTATGTTGATAAAGTTTATTTCATGATATTAATCGAAGGCATATTGATCTTATGATATTCCGAGAGATCTTACTGACTTACTTCATTATGCATTGCATTCATTTATATGTACATTGACCCGTGGCCTGATAGCGTTATATACACGTATATTATATGTATATGAGGTATGGGAAAAGGTTATGGCGTTATATACACACCACCACTTGATCAGCTGGTATACGTTGATGATTTCGCCCACAGTGGCTAAGATGATATGATGGAATGCCCTCAGAGTCTTAATGATGTTATGTACGCATATACCTATGCATGGTATGGAATTTATACGCACATGCATGACATTATAATTTTTTCATGATTGATAGAACTATTCAGAATTACAGGTTGAGTTCTTTACTCCATATTTCTTTCATGTCCTTTATATACTACTATCATGCCTTACATACTCGGTACTTTATTTGTACTTAAGTCCCTTTTGCTTGGGGACGCTACGTTTCATGCCCGCAGGTCCCGATAGACAGGTTGAGAGTCCTCCTAGTAGGCTATCAACTCAGCGGAAGGTGTTGGTGCACTCCACTTGATCCGGAGTTGTTTATCTGGTCAATATAATTTGCACCTGTATTGATTGGTATGGTGGGGCCATATCTCGAACTTTATGACATTTATGTACTCGTAGAGGCTTGTAGACAGATGTCATGTATATGGATACATGTATGGCCTTCTCGGCCTATGTTTTGAGTATACAAATGATCATGTCGGCCTTATAGGCCCGTATGTCACATGCATAAGCTTCTATATCATGTTGGGTCATCCCATGTCGTGTATTCTCTTATATTTAATTCTAGTTATCTCATGACGGTCTTTCCTGTTCATTTACCCCATGATAGTATGATAAGAAGGATACATTACGTTGGTATTCGATTGAGTTAGGCACCAGGTGCCCATCGCGACCCTACAATTTGGGTAGTGACAGTACTTTTGTGGGGGAAGTGCACAGTTAGCCACTAATTAGAGATGTCTTTACTCTTTAGCTACTTTTTAAAATGTATTTACTCTTTAGCCGGTGCTTAATAAATTTTTACCCGTACGGACGAAAATACCCTTGTGCTAGACATGAGTGCTGTGTAAATATTAAGGACATGGTGTCCTTAACTTTATGAATATTGTGTAAATATTAAGGACAAAGTGTCATGTATTTGCACCTTCTATTGTTAAACTTTAGGACATCATATCCTTAACTTCATATGTGCAGTGTAAATGTTAAGGACATGGCGTCCTTAACTTCATGTATGCAGTGTAAATGTTAAGGACATAATGCCCTTAACTTGTATTTGCACATGTCACGACCCGAAATTCCCACCTTCGGACCGTGATGGCATCTAACATTTCACGTGCTAGGCAAGCCACTGTTAGAATAATATTAGCCATTTTTAAACAATTTTTAAATTTATTAATAACAAAGAAATAAATGCGGAAGTAAGGTCTGAAATATAGTGAATAATCCATAAAAATAGCGGTGTCTAAATACCATCCCAGAATTAGTGTCACAAGTGCACGAGCTTCTAGAATAATACAAATAAAGGTCTGAATAAAATAAAGCTGTCTGAAAGTAAATACATAGCTAAAATAAGATAGACGGGGACTTCAGAACTGCGGACGCTGTGCAGTTATACCTCAAGTCTCCTCTGAGTAGCTGAAATCCGAGCAAGTCTATGGTACGCCGCTAGGACCAACTCCGAAATCTGCACAAGAAGTGCAGAGTGTAGTATCAGTACAACAGACCCCATGTACTGATAAGTGCTGAGCCTAACCTTGACGAAGTAGTGACGAGGCTAAGGCAGGTCACTTACATTAACCTGTGCGCAATAACAATAATAGAAATAATTCAGGTGATTTATTTTAATAGTTGAAATCAACTTAGCAGTCATATCTAATTATTATTTTCATCAATTTTCGTTGCAGCGTGCAAACCGCTCCCACAATATATTCATATTCAATCCTCCAATATATTTATTTTAGTCAAGTATATATAGACTTTTAAATAAGTTTGTTGCGGATCAAATACGAACATTACCTATTTAACCGAACAAGTTGCATTTGATTCCATCGAGATATCTCTACATGTGCAAAAATAATTTAATACGTATACATACCTTGAAATTGCACTAAAATTGCACTCATTTACCATTGATCCTGAATACCACATTTACATTACCTCTCTTCAATTTTTTACATTCACACTTTGCTCCACTATATATTATTATGTTCGCCAATAATCCATTCGCAACATTGCACGCAAATCAATAGATAACCAAAACTTAATCCGTTTGATACCTTTGGGTTTGCTTTTAGGAATTATAGTTGAAAGGTGGTGACTATTTTTCGGATTAGTTTCTTCATCTATCATGCTGCTATAAACTCATTTTTCTTCTATGTCGGAAAATTTGATTGGCAATGGATGTGGATTACGCGTGAATCTACTACATCCAATCCTACACATGACTGAAGGTAATTGATCTAATCTAATCAAAACTACCTTCAACTTTATATACTACTTAGTTATCTATTATATTTAATTTTCATTTTGAATTCAGCCACAGAATCAACAAACAATACCTTACTTCGTCAATTAAAAACTTGGTGACAAGTATGTTTACCTTCAAAATCGGATAACAATTGAATTTGTACGTAGTTTTAAGGATACATGATCTAACTTGATACAAAATGAGAAATCAGATTAATATTGAAATAAACAATGAAAAAGTAAATGCAAACCACACAAGTTGAACAATCTTAGCCTTGAAGATTAGTCACGCTCGAGTCAGAAAAGCTTTTATCGATGCCAGAACAGAATGACAAGATAATGAGAACTAGAAATAATAATAATAATATATTACTTTGGGATGCGTATTACAATGTGTTGAACGAATTATCAGATCCTCTTTATATAGTAGAGGAGTCTTACTCTAGGTATATTTCTATAAAAGGTAAAAATCTCTTGATTTGCTGATTGCCGGTTCCTTGCTGTTACGTGCCGAGATTCCCGCCGTAATATCCGACCGGTCGCGGATATTTTGGTCTTCTGTTAGTTATCTCAATAATGTTTCTCCGAGTTAGTTCGAGGCTAAGGTCGACAACGGACTCAATGTTCCTCGAAGGCAGGCTTTCCCACCTCGGGTTCTAGCTCGGTGGGACTCGAGGTCGATCTTTAGTCCTTGGTTGCCACGTTACAAGCCTAACCTACCCAGTTGTAGTTGAGCTCGACTTCGACCGTATATAGATAATCCTCTCATTTTTCGAAGAGTAGACGATGAGAAACAACATGAACTTCCGATCCCGACTTCGATATTTTGTGACAGAAACGACTAAACCGTCAAAACGTCTCGTCAGTCAAGTCTTAATGGCATTAAATGCCTGTCAGTTTTCGATTAGTCACTCCCAGATGTGAACAATCACTGAGAAACTATAAATACCCCCTCATTAGCTCATTCAAACTTTACTTTCAAACCTTCTACCCTCGTATCTAAGAAATTTCAACACTCCCAAGCATTAATTTTCTGGTTACTCTGAAATCCTTTTATAAGAACTTCTGTTCTTTTATCCCAAACCATCAAGCATACTCTTTTAACTTCCTCTTTTTTCTTCATTTTCCAAAGAAATGGTGAAGACTTCAAAATCCATTCCCCAAAAAGAAACTCCCTCTGCCTCGCGACCGACTGTAGAGGAAAATATTTCGTCTAATGCTACTGAGGAACCGACACCGGAACCTCCCCTGAAGATGTTCGTTCCTGCGGGGTGCCCAACCGGTGCTGATTTCAAGGTCGAGAAACCCTACTCGGTACCGGGTTGGTGTGAACCGATCTCGAGATATATTTGCTAGGTCACCAACAGTTTCCTCTCTAAGGTCAAGGAGGATTGCAACTTGGTTAATAAGCACGTGGTGGTCCCCACGCCCGAGGAAGCGATTACCACCCACGTGGAGGGTTTTTTAAGTGTTTACACTTATCCCTTCACGCTGGGCCCCTTGGATCCGATCATCATTGTATTTTGTAAGAGGTACGAGGTGACCCTCGATCAAATTCATCCTTCTTTATGGAGGATAGTAATTCTCCTCCGCTTCTTCTTAAGCAAAATCGAAGGGTGCTCCTTCACCATCGACCATCTCATGCGTTTGTATAGTCCCCGACTCTATCGAGGGGGACTAATCAAACTTGCCCATCGAGATAATAAGGCCTCATTCTCGATCATCGACAAGGATCGGGACCGAGGCTGGTTAGGCCGATTCGTCCGAGTGAAGACCTCAGATTTAATCCCGGCCGAGTATATGCCATTTCCTGAGAAATGGAACATGACACGTAAGTATAACCTTGCTTTCAAGATTTCGTTTATCGCTTTTCTTCTTCCTCCCTTCTCATCGATGTTTTGTGGTGGTGCAGCTATTGCTCGGATGCCGGATGTAGTTCCTCGACTCAAGGAGTGGGTTGAGGGCATCGTGTCGCAGAAACCATATTCCTAGCACGTATGGCGCGAACTTTCGAAGGACTGGTGGGAGGCCCGTTCTCATGGTGAGATTTCGTTCTCGTGTAGACAACATTTAGGTTTCCTCCGTGTTGCTGAGCCCATACTCATTTTCTTTTTCTTTGTAGGTCTTCCCAAGGATGTTGCAATGAGGCCTTCATCTGGTGGCGAGCATTACCCCTCTAAGTCCCCTGCTCCGAGACAGGGTGAAGAGAAGAAGAGAAAAGGGGCTCTAAGCTCTCCGAATTTGGAGAAGAAAAAATCGAGGCGGAGGCTCGTACAAAAATCTAAAGAAAGTACTGGCGCCCGAGAGCTCCCATCGGACTCACTCCACCTATTGAGGGATGAGTCCGAAGAAGAATAAGAAGAAGAAGACTCTGAACTGGTGGCCCGCGTGCGGTCGCAGCCCGAGGGATGAGGGGCCTCTGAACCAGAGAGAAATGACACCGAATCGCCCCAACTTAGGGGGGTCGATGAAGAGGCAATGACCGAAGCCTCTGAATCACAGAGGGGCGAGGCCGTTTTGCCTCAAGTTAGGGAGGCCAACAAGAAAACTGCGCCGGTACTTCTCGGGCAGAGGACAATGCTCCGGAGAATGTACTTGGAGTGATAGATCTTTCTGAGTCGCCTTCATTTACTAACTCCATGATCAACGAGGCTCAGACGCTGAAAAGTCACCTCCGCAAAGGGCCCCAAGGGGTGGCAGACCCCTTTAACAACTTTTTTAACGGTGAAGACTCCACCGCCATAGAGGACGTTACCGGGTTGGGTGACTTACCGGTGCCAAGGACAAATCCATCTTTGGGGACCGGCGGACCTTCCTCTAGTCTGAAATTAGTCGACTGATTCCCAGCTCCGAGTGCGAATCCAGACCAGAAGCGGTCAATCATTATGTCTATTTCGGAAGATGCCCGGGTTCTTTCGGCCCCCGTAGGTTTGCCAGTTATCTTCGGTGTCTGGTGACCGAAGAGGATCAAGATATAATGAACGAGGTATAGGTGCCCTGCCTGTTCATCGAAGCACAACATACGTTAAATCGGGAAACTTTGAATGCCTCTTTATTATGTACTTAGATTTAGTCGCAAGCAATCGTAACTTTTTTATTTGTGTTTACAGGCCTCGGTGCTTCACCACGAGACTTTTCTTTGATATCGGAAAGAGTAAAACCAATATGAGGTCAAGACTCGAGGGTTCACCGAGAAGAGGGACGCTTACAAACTTCTTTGTGAGAAACTCCAGGCTGAACTAGAGGCGGCTCGAAAGAAGCATGCCGACCTGATCGAGCAGGTAAGAAGAGTATTTGAAGTTAGTGACGATGAGTTAGACACGGTGGCTAACGATCCGAACCCGCAGGTTCAAAAGAAGCTTGATCAGATCGAGCAGCTCCAGGCGGAGGTGGATGCGGTAAAGGCTGAGGCCGAAGAATGGAAAAGAAACATGGACCGCTTGGCCTCAGAAAAGGAGACTGCCCGGGCACAATTGACTTTGGCTGAGGTCCATCTTCGGGCTGCAAAGGAAAAGGCCTTGGTGTAGGCCAAAAAGGTCGAAGGGCTCCAGTCTTAGTTGAGTTTGGCTGTCTCCGGTCAAGAAAATCTGGCCAAGGAGCTCGAGGCGGCCAAGTCAGAGGTCGTTGTGGTCAAAGCCGAAGTTGATGAAAGGGTGGACAAGTACAAGGCCGATGCCGAGGCGGCTCAGGACTTTGTAGAAAATACGGTTGAGCATATGAAGTGGCAATCCCGAAGGGAGGCCGTCGAGGAAGTTCACGCTCGGGGCTTTGATTTATCAGCTGAGATCAAGGATGCCAAAGTGCTCGAAGCCATGGCTAGGAAGCTCGCCGATCCCGAGGAGGAAGATTCTGAAGATTCGGGTGAGTCCGAGGGCGGCGGAGACCCCGATGGTGATGATGCTGCCCCGACGAAGACTAGGCCGCATGGGATCCTTTTAGATGTTTTTGTCTTCTGCTTTTTGCATCACCCTTTTGTTAAGGCTGTTAGGCCTTTGTAAAAATTTGCATCGGGGCTATTTTGGCCCTTGTAAAAAGAATTTTTTATATGTATATATAAGGCTTTTCCCTCAGCTTTTGAATTTCCCTTTGCTTTATTATTTGTATTCGCAAAGATTGAAATGCCTTAGCATGAAATGGTTAGGTTATGTTCGGGGGTTAGAACAAACCTTGCCTTTAACATTATTTTATTTTTAGACATCGTGGGGATTCGGTATTACCGAAATGTTTTCCCAAAGTAGTTTAGATTATTGTTTGCCAAGGGTAGCCTTTAAAATCGGTTATGAAATATTTTTGAAGGCCTTGTTTTTGTTACGAGTCTCGGACGTTTTCGAGCCTCGTTAGTATGGCCGTAGCCTTTTTAGTTCGGGTGTTGCCCAGTGAGCATGATACCCCGAGTTATCCGGGCTTACATAAGATAACAGTCCCCGAGTTGGGGTGGCCATGGTCTTTGAAATTCGGGCGTTACCTAATAGGTCTTATGCCCCCGAGGTCTTATAGCTCGGACTGTCCGAGTTTATTTTCGGACGGCAGTCCCCAAGTGAGAGTGATTATTCGAACTCGGATTAAGGTGGCCCTTGGGCTCGATACCTTTAGGGGATCGTATGTAGGAAATTCTTTGAGAAATGCAAGAAAAATTTAAAGGACAAGATGTTTGTGCGCAAAGAAGAGAGTTCTTTTCATATTGTGCATAATAGTTATACATGTATACATGCTTGATGCCAGGGTTCGAGCAGTCTATGTGGGCACAGTTCATTTGACCGTTTGGCCCTTACAATAAAACCTATCGATTGAGTCTTTTTCCTTGCTAAAGTTTATATCCGAGGGTAATGCCCCTTAGTGTTCGGGGCTGATCGAAGAGAGGCCTCGAATGCTGTTGTGATCATCGTCACTGGTGCGTGGCCGACCTTTAATTCTAAGTTTGCATGATTTACTTGTTTCCTCATTAAAAACCTTGTCGGAAAACCCATTTGGGACAAAATCGATTCAAGGGAAAAAGAGTGCAATACGTGCTTTCAGACCTAAAATCTCGTATCGTCCCTAGTTGGTTACCTGCAAGCATTAGCTTAAAATGTAAATAAAAGAAAGAACGAGGTCATACCTTAGCAGTAATATCACTTCAAGTGAGTTATATTCCAGTTGTTCTACAGTTGCTCGCCGTTCATTGTTCCGAGTTTGTAGGATCCCTTTTCGGTGATCTCGATAATTTGGTACGGTTCTTCTCAGTTCAGCCCCAATTTCCCTTCATTCGGGTTTTAGGTGCTCAGTGTGATCTTCCTTAGTACCAAGTCCCCAGTATTTAAGTGTCAAAGGTTGGCCCTTCGATTGTAATAACTTTCGATCCGCTATTTTTGGGCGGCCAACCGGACAAGGGCGGCTTCGCGCCTTTCATCTAATAGCTCCAGGATCGTACTCATGGCCTCGTCGTTTGATTCCTTTGTCGCATATCGGAATCTGATACTTGGTTCTCCGCCAAGTATCAGAGCTTCGGCGCCATAAACCAAAGAAAACGAGGTGGCCCCGGTACTGGACTTCGAGGTCTTACGGTATGTGTCACGACCCAAAATCACGCCTGCTGTGATGATGCCAATCTCAATACTAGGCAAGCCGACAACCTCAAGAATAAAAACATAGTATCTAAATTTAATAGAAAACCCCACACATACTGATATAAATACAATCCCAAAACTTAGTGTCACTGAGTATATGAGCATCTAAATGATAACAAAGTCTGACTGCTAAAAACACTGTCTAAAAATATAGAACAGTACAAAAACTGAATGGAAAGAGAGTCAAGGTCTGCGGACGTCAAGCAACTACCTAGATAATCTCCAATAGATAAAACCCCGAGAACTAGCAACCGTCGTGTCCGGAAGTACCTGGATCTGCACACGAGGTGCAGAGTGTAGTATAAGTATAACCAACTCAACAAGTAACAATACTAAATAAAGAACTGAAACTAGTGACGAGTTTCACAGTTAAGTCCAACTACAGTAATTTCCAACATAAGAAGGTAGGAATGCTTTCAAGTTCAACATTTAAGACAAAACAATAATTATATATCAAGTTTATCTGAAATAGAAGATGATATCTCTCAAAATTTCCCGAAACAATGATATATGACAGCTGAAGTACAACAATAATGAAATCAGTGCATCCTCTCAGAGCAACAATCACTCAGTCCTCCCATTCACTCCAATCTCACAATCACTCTTTCCTCTCAATCACTCAGCACTCGGCACTCGCACTCAGTAGGTACCTGCGCTCACAGGGGGTATATACAGACTCCGGAGGGGCTCCTTCAGCCCAAGCATTATAACAAGCCAATCATGGCATATAACAATGAAACATGTTGCGACGTGCATCCCGATCGCATAAATATCCTCACAATCAGGCCCTCGGCCTCACTCAGTCATCAACCTTTCCAATCTCTCAGAAATCATGATAAACAGCCCAAACAACAATGATATGATGTATCAATAATGAACAATAGAGACTGAGATGAAATGTGCAAGTAAAACTATGACTGAGTGCAAAACAATAATTTAGCAGATTATTCAATAAGTACACGACCTCTGTGGGTCCCTACAGTGTAAACACATGTTTTAAACATGATTTATAGATTGATTTCACTAATACGTAGAAAATGAACGAATATCAACAGATTATTCAACCACACAGTTCCATGGAATTTATCAAGTCACAATTCCTACGGTGCACGCCCACATGCCCGTCACCTAGCATGTGCGTCACCTTAAAACTAATCACATATCACAGAATCTGGGGTTTCATACCCTCAGTACCAAATTTAAAACTGTTACTTACCTCAAACAGTGAAATTCTTTATTCTGTTATGCCCTTGCCTTGCGAATTGGCCTTCGAACGCCTCAAATATAGTTACAATTAATTCGATTCAATCAATAAAAATTATAGGAATTAATTCCATATGAAAATATAAAATTTCTAACAAAATCCAAAATTGCACTCAATAATTACCCGTGGGGCCCACATCTCGGAACCCGACAAAAGTTATAAAATATGAACGCCCTTCCAACCACGAGTCCAACTATATAAATTTTACCAAATTCTGACATCAACTCGACCCTCAAATCTTCAAATTAAACCAAGAGGGTTTTCACAATTTTTCCAACTTAAATCACCAATTAAATGTTAAAAACAATCATGGATTCGGGTAATTTGACCAATATTGAGTTAAGAACACTTACCCTGTTGTTTTCCTTGAAAATATCTCAAACATTGCCTCTTCCCGAGCTCCAATTTGTCAAAAATAAAAAATGGGACAATCCCATTTTCAGAGCTTAAACTTTTTGTCCAGACCTTTCTTCTTCGCGAATGCGACCACTGCCTCGCGTTCGCGAAGCACAATTTTGTTCCGCCCAAGTTTCCTCCTTCGCGAACGCGGCATCTCCCTCACGTTCGCGAAGCACAAAGTGCTACTTCCCCAAAATCCCTCTACGCGAACGCGAGAGCCCACTCGCGAATGCGATGACCAAACTTCCTAGGCCGACTTTCCCCTTCGCGAACGCGAGAACCCAATCGCGAACGCGTAGCTTTGCCCCTAAAACCTTCGCGAACGCGTGCCCTCAGTCGCAAACGCGAAGCACAAAATGGCCAGTCCAAATTTCCTTCTTCGCAAACGCGTGAGTCCTTTCGCGTTCGCGAATAACAACACCAAAACCATCAACGGCAGTAGCAAAACATGAAGAAATGATCTGAAACCATCCCGGAACTCACCCAAGGCCCCCGGGACCTCAATCAAATATACCAACAAGTCCCAAAATATCATACGAACTTAGTCGAAGCCTCAAATCATATCAAACAACGCTAAAAACACGAATCATACCCCAATTCAAGCTTAATGAAACTAAAAAAATTCAACTTTTACATTCGATGTCGAAACCTATCAAATCAAGTCCGATTGACCTCAAATTTTGCACACAAGTGATAAATGACATAACAGACCTATTTCAATTTCCAGAATTGAATTCCGACCCCGATATCAAAAAGTCAACTCCCCGGTCAAACTTCCAAACTTAAATTTCTATTTTCGCCATTTCAAGCCTAATTTTACTACAGGCTTCCAAATAATTTTTCGGACATGCTCGTAAGTCCAAAATCATCATACGGAGCTATTGGAATCTTCAAAACTCTATTCCTGGGTTGTTTACATATAAGTCGACATCCGGTCACTATTTTAACTTAAGCTTTAACCCTTGGAACTAAGGGTTCCAATTCATTCCAAAACCTCAGCGGACCCGAACCAATTACCCCGGCAAGTCACATCACAACTGTAAAGCATAAATTGAACAGTAAATGGGGGAACAATACTACAATACTCAAAATAACTGGTCGGGTCATTACATTCTCCCCCTATTAAACAAACGTTCATCTTCGAACGAGTTTAGAATCATACATGGAGCCTCAAATAGGTGTCGATATTTGCTCCGCATCTCCCGCTCAATCTCCCAAGTAGCTTCTCCGACTGGCTAGCCTCTCCACTGCACTTTCACTGAAGCTATGTTCTTTGATTTCAACTTTCGAACATGCTAGTCTAAAATGGCCACGGGCTCTACATCATAAGTCAAATTACCGTCCAACTGCACTGTGATGAAATCCAAAACATGAGACGGATCCACGACATACTTCTGAAGCATAGATTCATGAAACACTGGATGAACACCCTATAGACTAGGCGGCAATGCAAGTTCATAAGCCACCTTTCCAATCTTCTTAAGTATTTCAAAAGACCCAATATACTAAGGGCTCAACTTGCCCTTCTTCCCGAACCTCAACACACCCTTCGTGGGTGAAACCTTGAGCAGAACCTTCTCCCCAACCATGTAAGCAACATCACGGACCTTCATGTCGGCATAACTCTTTTGTCTAGACTGTGCCGTGCAAAACCTCTACTGAATCAATTTAACCTTCTCCAAAGCATCTTGAACCAAATAAGTACCCCAATAGTCTAGCCTCACCCGGC